CTCCAATTCCCACATTACTTGCATCTGTATCTAAGATGAACTCTCCTTCTGGCAGTGGATACCCTAAAATTGGTGCTGTGATTAAATGCTTTTTTAAGGTCTCAAAGGCATTTTGGCAGTCTACATCCCAGCGGTATTCTCTTGCTTCCTCTGTAAGTCGCGTTAATGGTTTAGCGATATCTGCAAACTTCTTAATAAACCTCCGGTAATAAGTACATAGTCCAAGAAAACTTCTCACTTGATGTTTGTCAGTTGGTTTTGGCCATTCCTTAATGGAATCGATTTTTCCCTTATCCACGGCCACTCCTTCTTTACTGACTATATGACCCAGATAATTGACTTTACCTTGAAATAGCTGGCACTTCTTGGGGTTTAACATCAATTGGGCAGCTTTAAGTCGATTAAAAACGTTTTCTAAATTCTTCAGATGGTCCTCAAATGTCTCCCCCAAGACGATTATGTCGTCTAGATAAACTAGGCATGTTTTCCAAGATAACCCTCTCAACACATTTTCCATCAGCCTCTCAAATGTCGCAGGAGCGTTACAAAGTCCAAATGGCATAACGTTGAATTGCCATAATCCAGATCCTGTGGTGAAGGCTGTCTTTTCTTTATCTACCGGGTCCATTTCTACCTGCCAGTATCCAGACTTCAAGTCCAAAGTAGAAAATAATTTACTTCCAGCCAATGTGTCTAATGTGTCATCGATCCGAGGCAGAGGATAACTATCTTTCTTGGTAACGTTGTTCAGCAAACGGTAATCCACACAGAACCTCGTTGTTCCGTCTTTCTTCTTAACCAGGACCACCGGAGAGACCCATGGGCTCGTAGAAGGTTCTATTACCCCGTCTTTCTTCATTTCCTGAACAATCGTTTCAGCTTCCTCTCTTTTCGCCTGTGGTAATCGTCGCGCTGTTTGACGAATTGGCTTAGCATTACCAGTATCAATTCTATGCTTAACAACGGTAGTTCTTCCCGTCTTTCCTCCTTTTGGTACGAAAATATCACGATACTGCCGAAGAAAGTCCCTTAATTTCCTTTTCTCAATCTGATTCAGAGACTGTCCAGCAACTGCAACCATTTGATCAAATTTGTCGTTGGAATTATCAGACGTTGTCGTCTGACGGATTATGGATGTAACAGGTACACAAGTTCCTACTTTTGTCTCTTTCTTGATGGTCACTGGGTAGTCATTGACATTAATAAGTCTCACAGGAATTTCTTTAGCCGAAGTCACCAATTCCTTTCCAATTATGATTCCACGGCCAACTTCGTCGTCATGATTCCAAGGCTCCATCATAACAGGTGTTCCTTCGTCCACAATTCCCTGTAGCCGCGCTACTATTATCGTTTCACTTCTCGCAGGCACGACTGTATCTTCTTTAACGGCTGCTTGCATAGTGTTGTCATCATGTGGATGGAGAAATACCTCCTCGTTACCAACTTTGATTACCTTATTCTTAAAATCCAATTGGAATCCATGCGTATTCATTACGTCCATTCCTAATATAACATCCTCTTCGATGTCAGCAACTATAACAGTATGGACGAACTTTTCTGCTCCAATTCCTAATTGTATCTGGATTTCTCCGTGAATGTTGGCATTTTCACCTGTAGCGGTACGAAGTCGCAACCTCGTTGGTAACAGTTTCTTACGGCTGTTTATAACTGTCGGGCGAATAATGGTTCTTGTCGCTCCGGTATCCACCAACAACGTATGCTTTTTACCATTTATTTCTCCATCTACATATACACTATCTTCACGACATTTCAAAGAAGCTATCAGTATGAGAGGGTCTTTGGAAAAGTTCTGGGTCGAAGCTGCCCCCCTAAGGCCGACCCGTTCTAGTTTTCCTGATGGTGAGTTTCTTGATTTGCGTCGTACCTAGGATGCTTACAAGAACTTCGTACGTGTCCTATTTCGCCACAATTCCAGCATCTTATGGTCTTCGGTTTCTTGTATGTCATGCTTTTTATCATATTAACGAGCTGGTCAAGTTTATCTTCATCTCCTTCCTCTTTTACAGTCCTAACTTTACTGTACCCGCCAGAGGCCTGCGTGGCTGACTCGTATTCAAGAGCGGCGGATAAGACATCAACCAGCGTCTTGTGACGAGCTAATCGTAGTGTTCTTTGCATCTCATGATCACGAAGACCATCAATAAACGTTTGAACGGCCAACTTTTCCATCATGTCTTCGGGAGCTGTTGGATAAGCATATCGCACTAATCTGGCGATATCTACTTCATATTCTTGAAGAGCCTCATCTTTCTTTTGTCTTCGATTTTTGAGCTGCGACTGATATACATGCTCCAAGTGTTCGTGGCCATATCGCATATTTAACCTCTTCTTCAGTTGTTCGAAATCATCGGTCTCCTCTACGGCTATGGTCTGGAGCACATCTAAGGCATCTCCTCGAAGAGCGATAGTCAGGTTTACAGCCTTTTCTTTTTCAGACCATCCATTCGCTCTTGCAGCTGATTCGAACTGTTTCATGTAGTTGTTCCATGATGATTTTCCGTCGAAAGTTGGGACTTTGACGTGAACGGAACTTCCACTTCCTTCACATTTCGGCCGTGTTTCCAACTTACATTTCGTCTCCTCTTCTTTTGTCTCTGCTATAATTGGATTGTTTTCTCTCTCTGCTGTCCCTGTTTCCTCCATCTTCCTTTCCATCTCTTTTATCTTCTCTTCGAAGGCCAACATATCGGCAGCAACTTGGTTCTTTAATGAAGACATTTTATCGTCGAGGGCAGACATCTCAGAGGTGACTTTAGAGATGTTAGCAGAAACCTTGCTTTCCAGAGAAGAAATCTCGTTAGAAACTTTGCTTTCTAAAGAAGCGATATCACAGGAAACCTTGGCTACATCACCACAGACTTTGGCTACATCTGAAGAAACTTTCGAAATATCTTCAGAAACCTTGTTCTCTAATTTCGAAATCGACGAGATGACAACAGCAACCTGCTTGTCTTCAAATATATGAGTTTCCGGATCCAAACCTTCTTCTTTTAAAGCGTTCTTTAGTCGTTGGACTAACTCAGCCTTTTTTCCGGTAGAAGCTAATTCTCTGTCTTCAAGATGTCTTCTTAAATCCGTAACTGTGAGCTCATTAATTGTAGCCATATTTCACTTCTTTTTATTTCAAATTCAAATTAGATTTATTTAAAATCCCGCTTTTTATTTGAATATTCCACTTCTGACTCCACTGTTATATATTTATATAGTTCGAATTTATATGTCTTTATTCTAATTTATTGTCTATAATCTAATTTATTAAAACTCACGATAGCTAATTACTAATTTATTAAATAACTTTACAAATGTATTTATTTCACGTTTCGTACAAGTAAACCGCGTTTACCGATCTTCTTATGACTGACTCAAATACAAAAATCTTTCATTTATATACACAACTGTTGTCATCTGGAACTTTCGGCAAACTTCCTGAATAGTCTCGTATTTTGGTGAAGGCGCTCGACTCGTTTTTCAACCTCGAGACGTGGATGACTCACTAAAATTAGTGTCTAGAGATTTCTGTAAACAACTGGTAGCTAAGCTCAGGTATATTTTGACCTACAAATTACGAGAATCAATAAAAAAGGATTAGTCATAAAATATTTACAGTTCTATATGCCATAACATTTAAAATCGTAACACTATCTAAGAAAAAAAGACAGGTGTAAAAACAAAATTGAAGGGTGCCATCGAAAATACGAGGAAATTCGATCATTCAACTACTGGATTGTAAGGTTATGAGCCAATAAAGTGGCAAAATATTAGAAAAGCACGATTTTTTCACAATTAGAGAATTTTTAAAACAAAAATGGATATTTTAACCATAACAATAGCCCGTAAAAAGTAGATGGAAAAGTGCGAAAATAATATAAAAAAGTGGTATTTTTGAATTATATCTTTATGAAAGAGTTAGAAGGGAACTTTTACAATAGAATTTGATAATGTGGAAAACTATTCAATTACCAAATGAGATTTAAGGTTATGTGCAAATAAATGAGTAAAAAACGGTTTTTTTTATTTTTCGATTCTTTTCGCTTAGAAATTAAAGATTCTGGCTTGGCCATTTAAAAGAACCAAAGAAAAATACATAAAAAATTACAAAAGCAAAAAATGATTAACATAACTCAAGAAATTATTGAAAATTTCAATGATTTTCATATGCTCAATTTTCAAGAAAAAAATTTAAAAAGAATCAGACTATTTTGTATTCAAAAATGACACCTTCATAAATTTTTTCAGATTTTTTAAAGTAAAATTGCGTCCAGAAAAAAATAAAGTCGAAAAAAGCTTCTTTTTTAGATTTAAGATTCAGTAGCCCCTGGGAAGCTAAAAATTTGTATGAAGTCATGTCTTTATAGGCTTTATCTAAAGCACAATTCGCGCTGCTGATCGGTGCGGGGCACTTTTGACCATCTTATCCCGCTATAGTCTTTCATTTACAGTGTTGCAAAATCGTAAAAATTGTGTTATATTTACTTTTCTTTAACGCCCTTTATCTTGAAAACGGATGGCAGTACAAAAATTGTTTAATTAGCAAATCCCAATTATTGTTCAGTTTTTTACCAATCCTAGAGACAGTGTTACCTTTTTTTGAAACACTATGTATATAAATCATCATTTTATTTTATGTCAAAATTAAACCTAAATTTACCCATTTTACAAAAATATTCCGAGTACAGAACTCTATGTTTTAGTTGTCATTTATATTTGAAATTATAAGTAATTATAAAGAAAAAACGAAATTCATGTATAAACCGATTTGTCTTAGAAATAATATTTCTAACGTCTGCTCGTCCAAATGAATTATAACCCGGAATCAGAACGTACATTATTCACCATAACTTTAAATTTCATAAAATTCTTAGGACATTTCCGTCCTCATAACTCAAAAAATTCTTTGAAACTTTTAAAGTAATCACTTAAATCGCAAAAAGTGACAATTGCAGCATTGTTTAATTTCAAGCACTTTATCTTTTTTCCAGATTTCAGTGTTCTGGCTCCAAAAAAGTGCGGAAGACAAATGGAAGTAATCTCCAACATGCTTGTAGCAGCCTCAGAGGAAGAAAAAATAGAAGTTTTACAACATCCGCTTATTGGTAAAAAATCATGGCTCGTATTTTATTTGTTTCAAACTTAAAACAAGAAAGATGCGGAAGAGTATTAGAGGCGTACGATGAGGGTAAATGAGGTTCATCCCAAATGGGAACGCACAGAGAAATATATAAATTGCTTAACTGACTTTCAAAAAATATCTTTTAACGCATCAATACTATTAATTGCTCGTAAACATATTTTTTTGTAGTTTTTGATTTTACATGTTTTAGATTACACATATTGATAAAACCTTCTTAAACTGTTTGAATATAAAATAGGTAAAAGTCGTCCATTATAATATCAACCAATACTTTTTAAACTAGATATTGGCGACGTGCAAGTACTTGGATGTGATACGAGAAACGATCGTGCGCGAGTAGCGGAGAAATCTTGCATTTTTTACTGCATATTTCATAGATTTCATAAATTCATATTGTCAGTTGTCAAATTGTCATACTTCATATTCGTTTGTTTATTTACACCTTCTGTCACTGAAGAAAATGGGATTTAGTAAATACTGTGTTATAAATTGTAAAAATACATCAAAAAATTATCAATTTAAGTTTTATTCGTTTCCAACTTCGAAGCACAAATTACTACAAAGAGAAAAGTGGATTTATATCATAAAAAAGCATAAGTAAAATAACCTTAATTATGCGTGATTCTTGCGCCCGATTTTAAAGTCAGTTTGAAATAAATAATAAATAAAAGTTTACTTTTAAGTGTAAATTTTAGTTTCATAACAGTCACTTAGAGTTCACTTTAACCCATAAATCAAGTTTAGTGGTAAGTAAGCTATGTAACTTTAGGTTTAGCTATGTATTACATAGCTTTGTCCATTTTTTCTTAATTCTTCCACATTCTAACATGATTTGCCACTACTAAAGCTTTTCCCTTTGACTCAGTGCTTGGTTGAAAAGTTATTTGGTGATTTACTTTCTCAAATCCAGTTGTTATTATTCCATCCATATTAACAGTGTAACATGTATTTACACTAGATACAACGTTTACCTTTTAATAGCACAATATATATTATACGTAATTGTAATAACATACCGACATAACCTCAATCTTACTTTTTCTCCTTATTCTTTTTTGGGGCTACGTCCTTGACAGTTATCCGGTAACCTCGATTTAACATGAAAGCGCAGTCTCACGCGAACTTGCACGGTCCCAATAATGGTGACTTTAAATACTTGCTCATGAAGTAATCCGAGAATCTCATGACGTCCACAGCTATTATCTTTACATGTCGTGAAAGTACCACAACACTTTCTGGTCTTTCTTCGTGCGAGTGTTTTTCGTCGTTAATTCTTAGTACTTGATTAAACTGCAATGGAATGTTTGTCATAAGTTTCAATGACTGGTTTTGTCAAATGGTTTTGCATAATCTGTAGATTTCAATCTTGCTGTTTAATCAATGGCATAGCCAATTCTTCTGGCGTAAAAAAGTATCCTTTGGTTCGTTTTCTTTGGTATCATTTTATTATTCGCGTAATAAACAATATAATTAGCAAGTGAAGAGATGTGAAGGATATTGTACAAAAAAGCAAGTTTCCACCTGTAAGTTAGCCGTTCCGTAGTGTCTCGCGCTCATTTGATTTATTGTATTAACACCAGTTTTTTATTAAAAAAAATTATTTCTAGTTTCTTATATACTGCACCATCACGTTTATCTTGCTGGGTAAGATCACAGCTTTGTTTTTCCTTGGTACATAAGAATATATTGTAGCTTTTTTATGAGATGAGACCAAAAAACGCTGAAAAGGGTTCTCTTGTTTTCGAAACTTTTCTTAAGGAATTATGGCTTGATTTTGCTTGATTGGTAAAGTCGTAAAAAATCTATTCATCCTCATGTTTCGACTAGATCCTTTTAAACCGACTACCAGTTCTTTCACAACTCTTTCTGATTGTTGACCTCTCGAGTATCACTTATTTGCCTGAATAAATAAGTTGATTGAGCGATAAACCATTTACTGCAGCACAGATCCACCATATTGTATGCTATATTTAGCAGGCTTCGAAAACATATATTGAGTGAACTTTGTTTTACCTCGGGAAGAAAATAATTGGTTATTGATAGTTAAATTTTCGGTTCTCTTATATATAGTAGCCAAGTTTACATTTCACATGTTGCAAACATTAGTAAATGGTGCAGTTTTATAATCAAATTGTTCGTGCACGCCTTGTATTTTGGTCATCAAATCGCATAAACAGTAAAATTGATTAAAACTGTCAGCGCTTTACTCATGTATGTTTATTTCAAAGGTTTCGCAGATATAAAAGAATATAGAGACCTTTCTTTCTGCCTTTTTACCTTCTTCTTTCTGAAAAGTTTACATTTTGCATGTTTCAAACATTAGAAATTGGTGCAGCTTTATAATCAGCTGTTCGTGCACGACTTTTATTCTGGTCATCAAATCATATAAAGAGTAATATTGATTGGAATTGAACAGATGAAGATATTACAATGAGAATCGGACAAGATGAAATAGAACAAGTTAAGGATTATATATATCTTGGTCAAACTATAAAACTTAACAAAGAGAATCAAACAGCAGAGATCAAGAGACGAGTTAGACTGGCGTGGGCGGCATTTGGCAAACTAAGCTACATTCTTAAAAACAAAAGATATTCACAGCATCTTAAGACCAAAGTATATAATCAATGCGTACTCCCTGTTCTTACTTGTGGTTCCCAAACGTGGACATATACAAAAGCAAACATGGACAAAATCATAAAAACCCAAAGAGCAATGGAAAGACAAATGTTGCACATAAGACTAATGGATAAGAAGAGAAACGAGTGGATAAGAGAGAAAACAAAAGTGAGGGATGTTAGACAAGAAGTTGCAAAATTGAAATGGAGATTTGCCGGACACAATATAAGACAAAAAGAAGACCGATGGAACAAAATTCTTATAAGTTGGAGACCGTAGGAATATAAACAAAGCAGAGGAAGGCCCCAAATGAGATGGGCAGATGATATCAAGAAGCACGTGGGCTCTAGATGGTTGATTGTAGCGACAGACAGAGAAGAATGGAAAAGGTTTGGGAAGGCCTATGTCAAAAGATGGACCGAAGAAGGCTAATTAGATAGATAGATAGATAGATTGGAATTGTCGGTGCTCCCTTCGTGTATGTTTATTTCAAAGGTTTCACAGGTTTAAAAGAATATAGAGACCCTTCTTTCTGCCGTATTTACTATCTCTTTACGTCTTCTGCTGATACTTCTTTTGTCCTCTGTTTTCCTTGCGTTAGACATCGTAGGTAGGCATTAATCCCTGCTGTCTGCAGATTCTAGGTGTTTCCCGATCCTAGAAACTACACTTGAGTGCAAAACAATCGACTCAAAAGCGATATTTGAGATTACACCTTCTGTTTTAATGTAAGAAGTACAAAAATAACAAGATGTAATGTGCAAACAGTAACTTTGTTATTGAACTTACAAAAACTGCCATTTCATTATTTGGAAGACGCATTATAAAAACAATATGCAATATGAACAGAGTTTCTCAAATATTCATTATTGGAACTATCTCAAGAAAGACGTAATATACAGAGAAATCATCCATTAAAAAATATTTTTTTTTTGTTTTTCAGTATCTGATATTACCACCCCTATTCCTAATTATACTTTCCAATCGATTTCGCATGGATCGGATAACTTTTCTAATAAATTTTTGAGGCATTGCTTACCATTCATCATTAAGCGCAGCTCTCAATTCAATTACGCTACTTGGTGCATGATTTCTACTCCGGACCCTTCGTTCAAGCTCATCCCAAACATGCTCTATTGGATTTATGTCCGGACTCAACGCATGCCAATTTATTATAGGTATACCGATCTTAGTCAGATAGGTGGTGGTGACTCGTGCGGTATGATATCGTGCATTATCATGCAATAAAATAAAGGCATTACCAATAAATCCCACGTATGAAACCACATGTTTCTCCAAAATATCTCTGATGTAACGATCCGCCGTTAAACCTCCTCCACGTCCTCCACCAGGCACGAAATCCAGCTCGGTTTTTCCATCCATGAAAATGCCTGCCCAAAACATACAAGAATCGCCTCCATATAACACAATTTCTCGTATACAACATTGAGCAAATTATTCCCCTGGCCTTATATAGACTCGACGCCTCTTGTCGTTACCATGTAGGCAGATCCTACTTTCGTCCGAGAATAATACCTGACTCCATTGATAGTCGTCCCAATCCAGATGTTCGCGAGTAAATTCTAATCGTCTTTGCTTCTGGGTTGCAGTTAGCTTGGGACCAGTAGCTGACCTTTTTGGTGTCAGGTTGGCTGCTTTCAGTCTTCTTCTGCCTGTCCAAACGCTGGTAACCACACCTTGGACCTCTCTACGCTCTTCTTTGAGATTAACACTAGTCAAATGTCGATATCTTAGAGATTTAGATACAAGAAATCGATCATCTCTCTCTGTTGTCATTCGTTTACGACCTCCTCCTTGTCGGCGGACATAATCACCAGTATCTTGGGACTGACGATACACTCGGGACACAGCAGATGGGCTTAAATTTAGTCAATTTGCCACGGCTCTTTGGCTCAGGTCTTTTCTCAATAATGCTACTGCTTGAGCTGGTTTGACGCATGGTATCCATTTCTTATAAAGTTGCGAACTTAATTGACTGATGTATTAGTGGGCTGCTATGGAAATTGATGTTTACGATGTTAACCAAATGTGTTAAGTGGGTGTGTGTCGATTTCAGTGGGTCAAATCATGACACCCTCTCTACGTGTTGCATTATTTATTTGTAATACGTCACCCGATTTACCGAAAATCAAAAGTTTTTTTAAACTCAATAAAGAGGTTAATAATTGTACAATAAATATTTTAAAATTTACACCTTTTTTTATTTAAACAGAAGACGTACTTTCGCAAAATAATTTTGAGTCGATTTTTTTGCACTCAAGTGTAGTAATAGTAACTGCTAAGAGTCCCTTATCCAGGATCATGGATGAAGCCAACAACGACATCCTTGCACAAGTGTGTGTGCTTCGTATTTACTCTCTCTGTCTGAGAGAGCCCCTGCTTTAGGCACCTGCCTCTTCAGGGAATGGGGTTGTTTTGGGTTTGTTTGGGGGTTTTCTTTTTATTCTACCGTTAATGTCCGGGGTGGAATCGGTTTCAAGGCTGAGAACCTTGCACAAGAACAAATATATTAGCGCCTTTATTACTGTGTGATAAAATTACTGTATCATCAACGTGTATAATAGTTGCATTAAATAATTTCTCATTGAATTGTTACAATAAGTCGTTTAACAATATACATAGTTGCTATCAAAAAGTCTACATAGACATTTCGTCTAAGGGCTAGCAATTTTAATGTTAAAGACATTAAAGTTTTTTTTAGAGTTTTTAGTAATGTATGTAGTGGCTTCAAACAAATAAATTCAGAGAGCACTAATGATGGAAAAGTTATTCCGAGAATATTCTGTTATATAGCCCTATAAGGTTTTTATATTTATGTACCTTTTTATATGGGATTTTGTTTATATAAAAACGGTTATTTTTGTTTTATGTTAGCTTTAAAATCTTTAAAAGCTTGTTAAGAAGCTCATTTAAATAACTAAATAGCTAAATTAAAAGTCAGGTTCCAAATATATTTCCCTAAAGTAGCTAAAAGTTAAAAAGGATTAAAAAAGTCAATAAAAATAGCGTAATAATAATCGAAGCCTCTAATAATTTCGTATCTTAATGTACTAGCACTGAAATAAGAGAAATGAAAATAAATATAATTAATTCATTTTTTAATTTTTAGAACTATACCTCATGCTTAAATGGGCTAGAATATGCTATTTTTTCTACTTGTGGATCTCCGTCTATTTTATCTTTGCAACAAGTATGGGGTTGTACATTATGCTAATGATACATCGAGTAAAGAACATTGAAGGATTTAAAACAGCTCTAAAGGTTATCGTAATTTTTACGGCTACTGGACTACTTTGTCACGCAATTTTACAGGTAAATCTTATAACACTGACAGTATTTTAAATTAGTATGAATATATCATCACCATTATAATCATGCCCACTGCTGGACATAGGCCTTCCTTAAACTCCTCTATTCTTTGCGATTTGTGCTCTTTGTTGTTAATTGTTGGTTATGCGCCTGATGCCGTCAGGCTAACAGTGGCTTCCCACGATCGGCGATTCTACAGATCATCGCGGACAGCCGATCAGCACGGACGAGAACGCACCGCATACAGAGCTCTTCCTACGGTCCGTGACAGTCTGTGTAGGTCCGTGACAGTATTGTTTGATTATATCATTAAAAGGCCACTCAAGCTTGTAAACATTAAATTCGGCATTAAATTATTTTTCTTCTTTTTTAATTCTTTAATCGAAATAGTACTATTCTTCAATTGATTTTTTATTCGGTTCCATACATCGTATATATCGGTTCCATTTCTTATGCTCTGGTGCCGTAGAATTCCATAAATTTGTTTCATTTTGATACAAATTTAAAAAATCAAAAATAACTTCGTTTGTCCATTCCATTTTTTAGCAAAAAACTGCAAAACAACTTTGACAACACTACAGACAACTACTCGTGTCAGCGAATGAAAAACTTCTGACTTGCACTTGTCGTCTGTTAAAACACAGACGCGCTTGGATCGCGTCGCACGAGCATGTACCGCACCTTTGATGTTACCGACTCTAGATGGATAGGACGGACCAGCACAGACGTGCCTGCGCTACCACGGACGAGACCCTTCCCACGGTGCGTGGTGCGTGGTGGTCAGCTTACGTCCGTAATATCGCCGACCGTGGGAAGCCGCTATAACGTGTAGGTGGCCTTTCTCTACTACGTTTGTCTGCTCTTGGCCTTCAATATGTAATTTTGTTCGTCCATCGTGAGTCATGCATTCTCACTATATGGCCTGCCCAATTCCATTTTAAAGCAAATAATTGTAATATGATCATAAAAAAATACATAAAAGCATACTTTTAAATAATAAAATCCATAGTAAAAACTTATTAACGAATGAAGACGATATGTATGTCGTATGTGCCATCTGCCTAAGATAGAAGAAAATAGCAAAAAAAAAAAGAATTACACGGAAGAAGCATTCTATGTATTTTTGGAGTACGTACCTACCTTTATCTTTAACTTTCGGAAGACTGGGTCAAGCGTGACACGAAATTCACTTATTTCTTAATATTTCATGAAATAATTTTTTTACAAATCTGATTGTTCGTAAGTTCTCCTTATTTATTTCAATCTATTTTTTCGTGTATCATTCGTAAACATGCAAATTTCAGTTTTTCCTCTACGTAAAATCTATGATGTCGGGTCAGTCCTGACCCGGTCTTCGGATTTTGAAGAATTTTTCAATGTGTTTGTAGGCACACGTAAAACGCAGCCGTCTCTGTTTTGCAGTAAACGTATTCAAGGCAAAATAATTATGTTTGTAGAAATATTAGTAGATAGAAGTTAACCTTGGGAGTAATGTAGTTTCTAATAGGCATATTCTATGGGAACGTCCGAGACGAGAGGTCTAACTTTGGTGTAAAGCGGTATTTCACGTTTGTTGATCAATTTAATTCAAGCATCGATCTTGAAGTGTGCAGTATTATATCAAAATGTGAAAAAAGAGTGAAACTGCGTTGTATGCCTTACTCCTATCAGATAGTGAAGAAGATGATGTTGCAGAGCTGGATGAAAGCAATAGTGAAGCGAGTGATAATGACGGTTGTGAGCGTTATGTGTGATCTAGCGTATCTGATGTTTTGTGCGAAGGACGAACATGGCGTTATTTAGCTCCAAAAAAGGGTAAGACATTGACATGTAATTTATTACAGAAAAACGTAGGTCTAACTAAGAAAAGTCAAAATATTGAGACATGCATGGATGCCTTCAATTTATTTTTTTCTGATAGTATAATGTCAATGATCCTTGAGTATACCAATTAGAGAGCTATTGAGTTCATAGCTGCGTATAACAGTAAGAACGAGAAAAAAAATGAAGGATTGGATTGAAGTTGATCTAGTCGAACTGCGTGCTTTTTTTGGTATACTTATATTATGTGGAACATTTGGAGAGTCCCATGAGAAGGTGCATAATTTATGGTCCAATACAAATAATGCATTTACGCGTCCTACATATAAAGCATCTTTAAGCAGGGATAGATTTATACGTATTTTGAAGCATAATCGCTTTGATAATTTGGAAACGAGAGCAGAAAGAAGAGAACGAGATAAATTAGCTCCTATTCAAGAAATCGCTAATCTATTTGCCCAAAATTGTAGGGAATCATACAAACCATCTGCTTTTGGTACTATTGACGAGCAGCTTATAGATTTTAGGGGACGTTGTCCATTTCTGATTTATATACCAAGTAAACCAAAGAAACACGGTATAAAGGCTTGGACCCTATGTGACGCTGAAAATTTTTATTGCTGTAACTTTGAGATATATACTGAAAAGATTGGTGATCAATCTGAACTTAACCAAGGCCCAAGAGTTGTCAAAACACTTGCAGAACATTGGTATAGGTCTGGTCGAAATATTACAACTGATAATTTTTTTACCGATATTGCTTTATCTGAAGAACTGTTAACCAAAAATTTAACTCTTTTGGGTACTATCAGAAAAAATAGGAAGAGTTTACCCAAATCATTGCTTGAAATGACAGATCGCTCACTGTATTTTTCAAAATTTTTGTTCACTAGAAACATTACCTTAGTTTCATAGGTGACCAAGCCTAATAAGTTTGTTGTATTATTATCGACCTTACACAATGAACATGAAATTTCTGATGAAAACCAAAAGTTTAAACCAAAGATTATTTTGGATTACAACAAAACCAAAAGTGGAGTCGATGTTTTAGATAAATTGATCAGAGAGTACACAACATGTAAAAGAGCAACAAGAAGATGGCCCTTTCGTATATTTTTCAACTTTTTGGATGTTGCGTGCTACAATGCTTTCGTTCTCTGGAATACGAAAAATCCTGAATGGAACAGCCAAGTAAATATAAAACATCGCAGAAAACTATTTCTGAAGGAGCTTGGAAAACAATTAACCTCGCCCAATATAAAACGAAGAGCGGAAGAAATACAAGAAGAACCCACCGGATACCCTAAATCCGTAATCGCTGCAATAGAGACCACCGGTGTTAGTGTAAAAAAGCAAATCGAAGTGCCGAAATCTGCAACAAAACGAGGTCGTTGTTATTCTTGCTGGAGTAGTGACAATAAATATTCAAAAAGGTGTGACATGTGTAAAATATTTGTTTGTAATACTCATTCAAAACGCGAAGAAGTCCATATTGTCCAAATTAAATGCAACTACTGCCAAAAAGACCAGGATGGTGAACCATCTTAAAAAATTTAAATACAAAAATTTGGGATCATAATTTTTATGTTTCTTTGTTTTTTTTTGTTAAATTAAAGATACTGTTTAATAATACTGACTATTTAAATTATAAATAGAATGAGAATGGGTCACGCTTGACCTATCTTCGTAATCTAAGCAGGTCAAATAATCTCCGTACTCCGAAGGTTAAAAAACAAATTTCTATAATTCGCTTTGTAAAAAGCATCCTGTTACCTATTCAAATTGATAATTGTCCTGGGTTTTCTGCCTTAAAATTGTTTTGCCCTATATTGTCATTGTGTGATGCTGTAAATATTTAGACAAAGTCAAACGGCATATTTACTTTATACCGTGTAACATGACACACTTCATGAAATGAGCAAAATAAATTTGATTTTGAAAGAAAACATAAAATGCAGATAACTTGAAAAGAAAGTGTATTTTGAAAAATTACCATGGGAGAGTAGTACCAAAAGTCTTTACTTTAATGAGATACGTCTAAAAAAATACGTCTAAAGTAATTTTTTAAAAAATAAAAATTTCTGGACCACTAGAAAAAATGAAAAAAATACATTTGAACTTCAAAAAATATATAGAATCGAATGAAAAAGGTTTGGTTTGAAAGAAATGCATAAAAAATTTGGTCGGTGTATTCTGTTTTAAACGTCTTTTTAGAGGAAAACTGTTCACCTATGTGCTCATAACAAAATCTTTAAATTTCTGTATAAAATACTTACCTACTCTGTACTTAAAGTTGAAACAAAAGATTATATGTGAAGCTCCTCTTACCTAAAACAAAAAATAAATATAAATTACACGGGTATACAAAATGTTTTGTTTTAAAAAAGTTCAAAAAAAAGTTCAATAGCCCATGTTTTCTCTCTCTAACTATATTTTTTTTCTCTCTCCCCTTCTCTCTTTCTTACCTTAGCTGCAGCTTCCCCTCTAATATTTCCTTTTTTCTGACAATTCTAGTTAAGGCGTCTAGTATTACCTTAATCCTCATTGCTACCTACAGTATGGTATTTTCACTTACTTTACCTACCTTCCTGCGTAATTCGTTTCTGTCCTCATCAAATTTTCTGTATTCGAATAAAACTGTTATATCACTCACTTCACAGTATGTGCAGTTTTCATCTGAAATCTTCCTTACCCTATCTAAGTAGCTCCTAATAATTATAATTATTATCCTTTACTTAATTGTTTGTTCATTCTTTTCGCCTCCGTTATGCTGCTTTTTCTATCCATTTGCTTTTGCACATCCTTCTCGTAGGTTTCCGCCCATTCCTTCACAATTAGATGAATGGGTAACATATCTGTGACCTCTTAAATGGCCACCGTTGATGTTATTCTGTATGCACGTGCTACCCTTTATAGTGCCTTTTCTTTAGCTTTCTCAAGCATATTTCTATATTTCTTAATGTTAAGCTTTTGTTGCCATACCCGTTACGCGAAGAGTACAGTGGAATAAACCACTTCTGTAAGAATGCTCATTTTGGCAGTCCCTGCTTCTCCCACATTCGGCATAATACTTGTCAGCATCTAAGTCCTCTCCTCATCCTCGCAGTTGACGTATTTTACTTCTCTGGCAGGTACGATCCTTTTTTTCTTCAGGACAAAACCTATATGGTCTCTGGTCGTCG